GATAGGTACTATTTCACTATACTATATTTCACACTATTTTATTTTTTTTCCTATCTTTTTTATTTGTTTTATTTTGTTGTTTATTTACTTCAACTATCTTAAATATGTTGAAAGTTGATAATATTTTTTATTGGTTTTCTGAAATTGGTTTACTGGTAAACTTTTAATTTACATTTTTATTAATTTTTTTTTTTGCTTTCATTTGTAGGTCCTGAAATTATACAAAACATCCTAAAAAACAGTAAAATTTATACACATTAAAACTAACTTTTTGTATTTAATCTAAACTGAAAAACCATAAATGTAAGCCCACAATTTGTTTTAAAATTAGAGAGCTTAAATATTCAACATCTGGAATCTTTTTTGAGTATTAAGTACAAGTTTCGGATGTCCGACTGTATGACCTTTGGGCTCGCCAACTCCGTTCAGTGGCTAAAAACAGTTAAGCGTAAACATTGTCGTTGGCCATGTTTAGTTTGGCTTCTTCAAATTATGGCCGGCAGCCTAAGCAAACTAAGGGGAACCTCTGGCCGGGGGAGCACTATTACCTGCCGCCCGTCAAATTAGCAGCAGCATAAAAAATTACGTATACGCAACGAGGGCCGCTCGGACTGCTGTCGCACGTGTTCATAACCCGTTTGCTGCTGCCAAAACAGAACGTCAAATGTTTGTATAATGGCGTACATTAACATTTAACCTTGGAGGCACAAATTACCGGATTCTTGTCACCTTCGCACGCACCGGGGAGTCGAAGCCATGGCGAAAATGGGAGCGGAGCCGAGCGTCGGGAAGAAAAGTTTGTTGTCCGCAACTTTCTACCTCAGCAGGCGGTACGCGCTGGCAGACCCATAAAAAATCCTGCGGAGAGGCACCAACAGCTACGGAACATATGCGCCTCCGCTTCCCACTTCGATGATGATAAGAGGGTGCGGCACGGTGGCATCCTGGCATCCTGGCATTCCGGCATCTTGGCATCCCACCATCCCAGCATCCAGGCACCCTTGTATCCTTGTTTCCCGGCTGCCACCGCAGCAGCATGACGTCGTCCCCACCGCCCTGTGATAAATAGCTTGATTTTAAGCGAAAGGCGCGGGAGTAGATTTATGACACACGCACTTTCTCCGGCAAGAAAGTGGAAAGTCAGCTACGGGGAAAATCATCGGCAGCGGAAAGGAAAAACACGAATATCGAATGTCACGCAACAGGCAAACGTAGATTAAAGTATCGGAAAATCGGCAATTTAAAAATCGTAACATTTATTTCAAGCAAGGAGGAATTATTTTATGTAACGATTTTAAAGTCAACGCTTTAATACAGTGCATTTTCTCGGAAATCATTTCAGGGCACATTTGCATTCGATTTCTTTTAATTGCTGTTGAAATCAAACACAAATAGTGTTGTATTTCTTGTTACCCAGAGTTGTTGAAATAAACTCGCCGTATATTTACCAATATGTTTCCTGGAAAATAACATATATTCCTAACCTAAATTACAGTCAATTAAGCATTTGCCAGATAAATAGTAATCAGACTAGCTCAGTTTCAAGATAACTTTCTTTGTACTCATATTACCATTTTAGTTTAAAACTCAATTAAATGCTACCTCTGATATTTGCAATATATTTCACAGTTACTTGGCAAAATTGAGGGCTGACTGAACTGAAAAGCTGAAATATACAGCTGATTGATCAGCTCCTTAAAGCGTGATGGCAAATTTATTTTAATTAAGCATTTGCAAAATATGTAATAACCAAATGTAATACTGTATCAAGAGAACTTTCTTTGTACTCATATTACCATTTTAGTTTGAAACTTTATTAAATGCTGCCTTCGATATATGCAATTTATTTCCTGTTACTTGACCAATTTGGTTGCTGACCTAAATGAAAAGCCGAAATATATGGCTGATTGCTTCTTAAGTGAGATTGCAAATTTATTTTAGTGCTGAGTCCTGGATAAAAATGCAAAGTATACATGTTTATTGAAAAGCGATGACTGTTTTATGGCTTTTCCACTTCAAATCGTTTACGTAATCGAGGGAGCCTCTGCTTAAGAGTTAAGCTGCGACAATTGCGGGAAAATTGAATCACTCCTCGAGAACCCGTGCGATGTTTTTGATTGAACGTTTAAAGAAAGGACCGCGATTGGGTTTCGTGTTTGCGCCCGGATTCGATTTCGAATCGCGTCGCGGTAGCCATGGTATTCCTGGCAATTTCCTCAACATCGCCAGCCGTCGAAGGAGTCTGCTAAGCTGCTTACACCCGCACACAACCAAAGGTTTCCACGCAGGCGAAGCAACCTCAACAATTTCAACATCCGGCTTCCGCTGCAATGTAATGGAAACTCGACGCGAGAGCCGTGCCTCCGTGCTGTGCCAACATATTAAAGTTGGCAAATGTCGAAAGGGGAAAACAGCCGAATGCACTGAGAAAATAAAGGTGCCAAAGGGAACCAGTCGTGCTGAATATTTCTGTCCGACTAAGTTAACCACAACATAACATTGCCGTAAAACCAAATCGGTTGTTTTGACGTCTATAATTTATTAAATACAAGTCGCCATGGTTTCTGTTAGCTGTCGCTTTATAGAGCTGACACATACTTAACAGCTAGTCCGAGTACCAGTTAGCGTTAACTCTCACAAAAAATAAACCATTTCTCAACAGGCACATTGTCTTTCCGAGAAAGGTTAACCGGCACTAGAGAAAACGACCCTACATTTAGAAAGAGTGAAATAACTTTTTATATTTCCCGCAGTCCTACTTATAAGAACTTTTTTGGTTTATAATTAAGAATCAAGAACATCAGAAATAATATTTCCCATTTATAATATTTCTGGTTTATAATAAGGAATCATGAATCTTAACAGTCTATCCGATCAAGGTTAACTGACAATCAAGAAAACGACCCTGCATTTTGTAAGCAGAGAAATAATGTTTTATATTTTCCGCTCTCCCATTTATAAGAATATTTGTAGTTTATAGGTTAGGTTACAAGGATATGGTAAAAAAGCGTATTTAAATTTCCAACAAATAGCCAATATTGAAAGTGAACTATATTTACATCTTAATAATTTAATTAATTTGGAATTTGTTTTGTTTCTTGAGACTTGGAACCACTAGCTTTCTTTCTGTGCAAAATCAAAATCCACGGAAGAAGGGCTTTCTACGGAGAACTCAGAAAATGTCGGGCGCGGAAATCTAAGCCGAGACAAGAATAAAACCGAAAGTGACACATTGCAGCGGGATATCGAGCGGGACGATGAGCGGATTGTCGAGTTGGCTGCAGGGTTAGGAAAGGCGATGAGCGGCGGGGGCGCCAGGTGGCCGGAGGACACCCATAAATCAGGGCCAGGCCGAAAACATTGGGTCTAAATGCGAACTCATAACTCCCGCACCGCATATAATTTAAGGGCAGGCTTGATTAATTACTCGCCGCGGCGAATGTGGAAATTATTTTAATTTTCCAACGCCACGCGCATAATTTGAGATAAACCAAACAGCGAAATCCACTCGGAACCGAACACTTATGCGAGATAATTCGTTGGGGTCCTGGAAAATCTCGGCCCCTAAGCGATGGCATATACATAAATATGATTATTTTATGCAGATCGAGCCGTCATTTTCATGAAATGCACATTAAAGATCCTTCGACTGGCGCCTTGGAAGCAGCGGTGCGTATGCGTGATATCTGAAACGTTTAATTCAAGTCGGCGCGTAATTTGCAACTCAAACTTAAATCCAGGCAGGCAAACTACTTTCCGCCCGAGCACCGCATCACGACAATTGCCACCCGCCCCATTTTAACATCTTGAAATGCAGTGCAAACTGGCAGAAAGTTTTGAATCGTCTCGCTTTTATTTCTTGGCTGTCTTTCACGAAAAAAACGGGGTGGCGTCGGGTGGCGGGCTTTGGGCCAAGTCAGCAAGTCAAATAAAAAGTTTTCGTCAACATTACGCAAATTAGTTTGTCAGTCGAGCCAAGCAAACGCAGCCGACAAAACCCTAATGACATCTAGACTGAGGGATAACTTTCCAGAGCTAAGCCGAGATTCTGGCGGTGATGGAGTCCCTTAGACAGCTTCAAGCTGCACTTTTCATCTGCAGTTGGCTTCGCCTGACGGTTCAAGTTATTTTCTTGGCCATTATAGTTCGATTTGATTTTGCAAATTATTCTTCGGGCATCAGTAAATTGTGACGAGGTAATAAAGTAAACTCTGAATTAATTCTTCTAATAATGAGGTTATCCTTCTTATTTTTGGTAGTATTGCGGTAAAATATACTCATTTGTCTTAGAAAACTATTTCTTCAGCTTATAAATTCTATTAGGTTAAGAGCCCCTTAAATTTTGGAATATCAAAAAGTAAATATGATAAAATTAGGAACCGACGTCATGCGGCACCTTTCATCTTCAGTTAGAGGGCCTAATGTCCGAAGTACGCCCCCTGACAATTATGATCCGATTCGATTTCAGAAGGCCTCATTCGATATGCATTAATGCTCCTTTGTGCCGACGGAATCATAAAATCAAATATGCATTGAATTACCGTACGACAGGACAATTATATTATACCTTTTGCCGAAAAAAAGGGAGGGACAAGTAAGCCTCGCTGAAAAAAGGAATATTTAACTCGATTTTCTGGCCGTGAATTTGGTACCACAAGCATCTGGGGCACCCGTAATTCCCGTAACTCCTGAAAGGCCGGCTCTTCCTCCAGCGAAAACCCTAAATCGGCCGCATTTTTCACTCAACATTTTTGTATTTTTTTCAGCCCTCGTTTATGCGCAAAAGTGCGTGTAATTCAATTTTTCATGCGCCATGTGACATGGGATGAGGGTGGGGATTGCCTGCTACCTTTTCAGCCGAAATTAAGACAAAGGGAAATATGCGCTGAAGGCATATTTGGCACGCAATTTTCCACGGCCTGTCCTTATTGATGGGCCATCCCTTTTTAGTTATAAAATGCCGTTATCGTTATCAATTTTTAATGCGTTTGAAACCCTTTTTGTGCTCTTGAGAGAGCATCGATTGTTTTAAACATGGGTTGAAAGTGTTGCAACAGAACATTGTAATTAGGGACTTATCTTAGCTTGAGTGTGGCGGGCGGCGACGTCGAGCCCGAAGTCCAGTGCTGCGTGCCTGAGGATTCTGGGCGGCGGTAGTGCTATCGCCGGTGGCGGCCGCTTGTGGTGGTGGTACACTTACCAAACCGAATCCGTGGGCATTGCGCACCACACGGCTGCTGGGATGGGCAAGGCGTACCACCCGTCCGCTGGGCAGGACAAACTCGCTTGCCAGAGTGAACCCCGATCCCTGGGAGGATCCCTGGGCTGCTCCTTGGGCGGTTCCTTGGGCGGTTCCTTGTGCGGCTCCTTGGGCGGCTGCTTGGGCGGCTCCTTCAAACATGCTGCGCTCGATGGCCACCTCGAGTTCCAGATCCTCCAGCTGAAGGCCGGCAGAGGTGGCCGCATTCTGAAGTCCTGGTTGCGATGCCCGTTGTCCAGTCTGCTGGGAGTGCTGAGCCGGCTGGTGTTGGCCTTGTGTCGCTGGTTGGGATTGAGTTGGCTGGTTCACCTGACTAGCCTGCTGGCTAGCTGGTTGAATCAACGTGCTTTGGGTCACTCTGGGTGCCACAACTTCGCCGTCCATCTCCACGAAGAAAGGACTGTTGAAGCGCTCTATCATCATATCATCTAGCTCCCCGAAATCCTCATCCTCCAGCGCTAGATCCGCCTCGAAGCCACCGCAGTCATCGTAGTTAATGCAGCGGGAGAACTCCACGAAGTTGTGCAGTGTGGAGGACGAATCCCAGGCCATCGATGAAGATTTGGCTCCTATCTCCGCCAAAGGCCTGTACAGAGTATTACACTCGTACGATATTATATCATCGTACGGGGATCGGGCAAAGTTAATCAGTTCATGGGTGAAGTGCTGGGTCTTGCCGCCAAAATATTTGGCCACCGCCGAGCAGAACTCCAAGCTTTTAATGCTAACACGAGGTAGCAGATTTAAGATGGTCTCGTACAGAAGCAAAATATTAGTTTTGCCGGACTTCACGAGCACCGACGCATCGCGGTTCACCCAGTTCATAATCCTATGGATCTCGAAGGGATTGCGGCTGAGAAAGAAGGAGGAGAAAAGCTGCTTATCAGGAAGGTCTGTATGGGACCAAACTCACCGAAAATGTTGGGGCGACCAGTCGCGAAAGTCGGGCTTCTCGCGATTTGGGAAGGAATACAGCGAGTTGGCATAGACGTACACGCGCCAGTTGACCATGTGCCGGGGCATCATTTTTCGTTGGACGTTTCTCGATCGACTTCACTTAGATTCTTCAAAAGCGAAACTTCAGCTGCGACTGAGAAATTCCTGGAATTGTCAACCAAAAATTTGATTCCATCGAACGATATGGTGTCTGTCACTTACGCACTGGATTTTCCCCAAGTAATACGGCACTATTTACTTTACAAAAGCTAAACAAATAAATTTCAATTATACAAATCCGCAAAATTGGAAACTGTAAGCAAGTTTTGATTCCATTTATTCCATTCCGTCAATTTGATTCCATCGTTCTTTCTTTTTTCTTCTTCTTTCTTGTTTCGTTCCGTTTGTTCCCAGTCAGATCTTGCATCTCCCTTTTTTACTGACACTTACGCTGAGGCTATCTCCCTTTTTTACTGACAATTACGGTGGCTTACGTTTCAAGGAATATGTTCAGACCTGGGCCTGTCTGCACGATGAGATAGATAAATTGGCCAGTTGTGTTTAGACCTAAGGCTTTTTACACGATGCAATTAGGAACATTCCCAAGCAGCCATAAGGAACTTATTCAAAGGAAAAACTTATTTAATCACACCTCACTAGAAATAATAAATTAATAAAAACCAAAGGTGTGTTAAATATGTAAAATATGTTATTTACAAAAGCTAAACAAATAAATTTCAATTATACAAATCCGCAAACTGTAAGCAAGTTTTGATTCCATTTATTCCATTCCGTCAATTTGATTCCATCGTTCTTTCTTTTTTCTTCTTCTTTCTCGTTTCGTTCCGTTTGTTCCCAGCCAGATCTTGCATCTCCCTTTTTTACTGACACTTACGCTGAGGCTATCTCCCTTTTTTACCGACACTTTGCACGATGCGATAGTAAAATTGGCCAGTTGTGTTTAGACCTAAGGCTTTTTACACGATGCAATTAGGAACATTCCCAAGCAGCCATAAGGAACTTATTCAAAGGAAAAACTTATTTAATCACACCTCACTGGAAATAATAAATTAATAAAAACCAAAGGTGTGTTAAATATGTAAAATATGTTATTTATACCAGAAATATTTATCCCAGACTGATTAAATGAAGTTCTATTGCTTGTGTGTTAAGGCCAGAGTTGTCACCTCTTTGTTTTTCCTAAAGCGCTTCAAGAAATGCAACTCTGCAACTAACATCACTGAACTAACATCACTGAAGGGAAATAATTTGTCCGCTGATAAATTTCGAAATCGAAAACGATTTGTAGAACATTTTCCAGACTTTACACCCATTTTTTTAAAAGGGTAAAATAAAATGCTAATGTTTTACATTTAATCTTTACATTTATTATGTATTTGATTCGTGTTATATATGATGTTTGTTCTTTGTATGCTGAGTACTCTAAAATTCATAACTGGCCACGCCCATTTATGCAAAAACATTAACACTCTCGCCATATATTGATCAGAGCTAGATCTATGATTTATAAGCTAAGAACAGTAAAGTTAGTTGCCATTGTTTATAGTTAGTATATGTAGGCTGTGGTTAACTTAAATAAATACATTTACAACCGATGTGGGAATAGGAAGGGGGGGCGATCTGTGGGTCATCGAATGGATTTTTGGGGTGGGCTACATATATGCGAGAACACTAAATCAATGTTGCAGTTGATAGGTGTGTAAACGTAACTATATATATATTTATATCAAGATATTGGTGTCTGAATATGTACAACTTAAAATGGCAATCCTAGGCCTAGAATACATCTAGTTTGAGCTTAAGCTTACTGGTTTTAGTTACTTACATAGCAAGTTACACGTATTATTACTTTATTGGGTTCAGGGGCTTAGGAATCGGAACAAGACAAGACGGAAACCAATTTAACATTCCTTTAAATTAACAACTTAAATGAAAATCAATGTCGGTAGCTTATGCTAGAAACGCTAGTAACTCCCGATCAACCCCCTCCTCATCGTCGTTGTTGTCACTATCGTCCTCATCCTCTTCGTCCTCCTCAGCCTTTCCCTCTTCCTGTTCATCTTCACCTTCTTCATCATCGTCTTCGTCATCTTCATCTTGTTCTTCAGTGGCAGTGGCTGTATCCTCGGCGGTCCCCACCTCTGCTTCTCCAACCACGTCGATTGCAGCCCCCAGGGAAAAGCTGTTCTGTTCATTGCTGGCATCAGGATCCGCACCTGCTCCAAAATAGATACCCAGATTTGCGTCATCCTCCTCCAGAGCTCGAGAGCTGCCGCGGAGAGTATTGCGCAGCGAACTGAGGGAAATCTCTCCCGAATTAGACTGCTCGTTGAAAAGGCCTACCTCCCTCGGTTGCGTCAGCGTGGATAGTTCTATTAGGGAGTTTGCTATATCGTGCTCCTCCACTTCCACATTGAAACGCGTTAGGGGATCGCCAGCATATCCTGCTGCCCTCCAGCCAAACGAACTCATCGGAGCCGAACTCGATGTGGCTGTCGAGCTGCTGGCCAAACTGGCGCTCTGGCTGGACTGATTGCTGTTACTACAGCTTCGCCGCCGCTTTGGAGCACTGCATCCCGGTTCGGTATCCTCTGTTGGCGCTGGTGCCACCTCTGTATTTTGGGGCCCCTCCTGCTGTTGTTCCCTTGTATTTGTGTCGGACATCTGGAGCTCCAGTTTTAGTGGTTTTCTATCCTCCAGCGGTGCCTCTGCTTTTAGTGTGGCCCGCAAAGCACTAAGCCGCAGGTTTTCAGTGCTATCATCATCAGAATCATCACTGCTAGTGTTGTTGTTATTGGGGTTGGGTTGACCTATGGAAAATGTAAAGATAAGTTATTTTGATATACAATCTAAAAGGTAGTAGAGCCCTCGTAAAACATTTTTCGATTACATAGGAGACTATAAGTTTTATAACATCGGAAAGATCTGACCAGTTGTATTAAGTGAATAATATTCTCTGTAAGACTTATTGTACAAATGTCTCCGCCGACCAAATCAATTTACAAGATATAGCCAAATGGCCCTGGTAAACAGTAAGATAATGATTACAAAATTACTGATTTTTAATCAGTTTTATCAAAGATAACACTGAAGTTATGCCTATTAAATGATTGTAATTAATATTTTTGGTAAGTATTTAGATATGGTGAAATAAATATGTGCTTATTCATCTACACCGGAAACATTCTGCCAACGCAGCGGCGATAAGAAAGGTCTATTCTCCAATGCCTCTTACCAGATGTATCGCTGCTATCGCCAGCTGATTCGTCGTCAGACGAACTAGGGCTTGAACTACTGCTTTCCGGTTGCTGCTGTGATTTCTGTTCGCCATGCAGCAGCTGCTCTAGCCGCCTCTCTAGAGCTGCCGCCCGAGCTGACTCCTCGTTAGCCTGTTTCTGCTTTACATCCTTCACCTGGCGTTTCCGTTTGCGAGATGTTGCTTTTCGATTTGAGGCTTTTTCAGTGCGTTTTTTATTCGGTAGCTTGTGTGGTTTTTTCTTGGCTGGCTCCACATTGGACGTGCTGCTAGCACTGCTGTCGTCATCGCTGCTGCTGCTGAAGTGGAAGGAGGAGCTGCTGCAGGTGCTGTTGCTGCTTCCACTAGCACTGGAACTACGGGCAGGGACGGAGGACCGCTGGCGCGATCTCTTCGATCGCGTTGAGCGCACTGTGCGCAACTCATCAAGGCGACGCGCTTCTGCCATCACAAGCTTCCAGTTCTTGCCTCTGTTAGCCGCTGCACTCGTGCTGGGACCAAAGAACAACGCCTGATCTCTGGAGGACTGATCCACTGGCGATTGTATCGCCTGGTCGCCGAGACTTGCAGCCGGCGGAGCCTCATTCTGCTCATTCACGAAAACCACATCAGAGTCACTATTCGAGTCCAGGCTCACCTGCTCGGGAGTGCGCAGGTGAGGTGGCTTTAGCTCCAGCACAAAGACGCACTCGTCTTCATCGCCAGAGCTGCTGCTGCTCTGCAGTTCGATGTGGGCACTCACTGGGAGAGTGGCGCCCGCGTGTCTCCTGCTAGGATTGCTGCCATCATTGATGGCCGCCACTTCGGCATTTGCAGCTGCATCGCCATCGTCGATCTCTATGACCTCCGCCTCCTCGCTGGCAACAGCCGCCGGGCGCCTCATACTTAGGTTGATAGCCACCGTTTGTGAGCCAACATTTGATGTGGTTGTACGGCGTATAGAGATGCCTGGCAGCTCACTGCCATCGTTGGCCATTGTCACGCTGAAGGAATGTGTAGCACCGGGATTGGTCACAATCACACTGGTCGACGGACGTCCACTTGGGGGACTCCAGTCGTTGGAGAAGTCCGCATTGACGGCATCTCCATCGCTGTCACCAACCTCCAGGTGCAGATCATCGCCATTCGACGACTGGGTCTCCACCATGTCTAACAGGTCCACCTCCACCTCCTCGGCCACGCGAGCCGAGTATTGAACCACATGGTCGTAGCCGATCATGTCGAAGGGGGAGCGGGCAAAGTTGAACAGCTCGTGGATGAAGTGGCTGGTGCGCTCGCCCAGATACGGCGACAGCCGGCGACGGAATGTGGGACCCAGTATATTGGTCATGGGCAGGATGTCGTTCATCAGCTGCATCACAGTGCTTACGCTGTGTGCGGCATTCCTCAGCAAGCACACAATGTCGCGATGGATCCAAGGCATCAGGCGATGCATCTGGGCGGGATTGTTTCTACAATGGGGATTTAAAAATGGTATTTAGTATGGGCTAGGCAGTTGAGAACGTATCAAAACGCACCTGTAAAAGCGGGCACTCCACTCGCGGAAATGGCCCGTCAAGCTATCGCTGACGGGCAGGGCATACAGCTTTCTGTCGTACACGTAGCGCCGCCAGAGCTGGCTCAACGAGCCCGATGTGGCGGCATCCTGGTCGTGTCGATAGTAGTTCATCAGTTCCACTCGGTAGGGCTCGAAGCGGCTGTACGAGTGCCTGCCGGCCGCCACCTCGGCTGCCGGCAGGACCTCTTCTCCCGCAGCCCCTGCTGCTATGCCGGCCTCTATGTCGTTGGTCATGACGGCCTGGTTCTGCACCAGAGGCATGTACCTGGGACGCCTTACTATATGGAAGCGTAAGGAGGGATGATCTGGCGGAACTGGCGAAGAGCTCTGCACCGGATAGCGGTCGTAGTCGTCCAGGGTGCGGACATTGTGTATGATGGTCTTGAAAGGCTGCTTGCACAGCGGGCACTCGGGTTTGATCTGTTAAAAAAGGAAAATGCTTTTAAGGATTGTTTTGTGGTTGGTTGGCTTGCAGACTACTTACCTTGCTCCACTCGCACAGGCACTTGAAGCAGAACTGGTGCATGCAGGAGTCCGTGAAACACTTCCTCTTGCAGCGGGACAAGCAGATGGCGCAGTTGGGCGGCGGCGAGGAGCGCTCTGCGGCGGTGTTCTCCTCCGCGGCGGATGCACTGGTCCCCGGCTCACTGTTGGCATTTGCCGGATTGTCCGGGCCGGTGGGAGCGGGTTCCTCGGCCTCGTTGTCACCGGACTCACTGCCGCTTTCGGTGAGATCGGCAAACTTCATGGCCGCAGCCGGCAGAGTATGGGGTCCGGCATTGGATCCTTCGGATCCCGGCTCCACGATCACCGAGGCGCCCACCTCGTCCGCTCCCGAATCGGGCACATCGCCGGCATTGCCGCCCGGGTTCTCCTCCGCCATACCGGCGACTATATAGACTGCGAAATCGGCCGGAAAATGGGCGAGAACTCCGCTCGGAGTTTTGTGTCTACTCTGGCCTCCTCTCTCTCTGTTCCTCTCGCCCTCTCTCACTCGCTCTCGCTGGCACGCTACCCTATCATCTGGTTCGCAATTCGGGTCTCATGCGTCGTTTTCCACGGGCCTTTCACGGGCCAGTGGCCACATTATCCGTATTCCCGACCGGTCCAATGGGTGCTCGAAGGTATGACGCTGATTATAGCACTGTTTTCAGAACGGAAATCGCACTGTAAATCGGTTATTATGGTACCTGAAAATGCAGGAAACTCGGTTTTTTGTGCACTGTGATGTGACCGTTCGCCGCGTACCGAAAAATACGAAAACCACGGGTGTCCGACTTCTTTTTAATATACGAAATAGGTACGAAAAGATAGGTACAAATGTTTTTAAATATTTTGTTTGAGATTGCTACAAATATTATAAATTAATTCTAAGCTTAGGGGTTCCTTGATTTAATTTTGGATAAAGTTGTTGAACATTATTGAGATAAATGGAAAACTCCCTTGTGAATTCAATAAATTTTTTATATCAGCCGTGCAAAATGGAAAAAACTAGATTAAACTAAATTAAACTTCGGTTTCAAATATTTGTGTAACAAGCTTCTGGAAATTTCTGTTCAAACTGTTTTGGACTTGGTAAGTAACTAGTTTTCGTGTGACTTTGGCTTCAAATCCTACTATTGTAAAGGAAAATCAGTTTTTAGTTAAAAGTTATACTCGGAAATTATATTCTATCCCCAATTTTGTTAGTGAAATATCAGAGAGATTGGAGACTTCTTTTGAAATTGACAAGCCGAGTATTTCAGTATTGTTTATACTCTTCTAAAATTTTGGTATTTTATTTTTCAAAGTGGTGAGGCTGCACTGCTCGGGCTATCGATAGTTCCTCGCTCATTGCATTGGCGTCGGTTTCAATTTGCTTGTTTACAATTGTTGGCTTAAAATCGCGTACAAAATGAATCGTCGCAACAAACGCACATCCTATTTCCAGTACGAAGTGTATCTGGACTTCATGGAGGTTAATCCCCTCGTGTCGGCCAACAAACTGGGACGGACTCAGGATGGGAAAAAGTGGAAAGAGCTGAGCGATGAACTAAACAAGTGCCCTGTTGGTCCTACATTAGCGCCTGAAGAATGGCGAAAGGTATAGTCTTATATGCATATATCCCATATAGAACCTACTAAACCATGAACCGTTTCCGGCTTCTAGCGCCTCAATGACTGGAAGAACAGCACACGCGCCAAGTTCCGACGCAGCCTGAGTTCGGATGATAAGAGCAATATCTTGACTCCCCTGGAAAATAGAGCTCTCCAAATTTTCTCCTCCGAGTCGATGTACCGAGACGTTACAGCTCCAGTGGACATTAAGGAATTGGTGGAGGAGCAGAACCAGGACCAGGAAGAACCAGATGAGGAGCAAGAGGAGGTGGAGGAGGAGCAAGAACAGTACCAGGAGTTTCTACCGGAGCATACAACCCGAACGGTGATCAATGGGCACAGGTCCGGCAAACAGTTACGGCTGCAAGATACCGGGGAGATCATCTATCAAGGTGCGTTATGCCAACTAGTAGTGGAGCGCTCTAATATTTATTTGTGTAACCTGTATTTTAGTGTCGAATATCGTGTCATCAGAACGATCAGCTCCAAAAGTACCTGCACCTGCAAACTCCTGCGGCAAGAAAATCGAGCAGCAGCTAAAACGAATATCTGATATTGAGGAGGCATCTTTGCATTTCAAGATAGCCTGCTTCAAGTACAACAATCCCGGATTCGACTATGTCCCGTAGTGAAATCCTTCTGATTATCTGATCCTGTACATTATAGCATCTAAGCATCGGGGACCTGCTAATTCGGCAATGAATTAAATGTCGAGAAACCTTAAATGATTGGTACAGATAGATAATGAAAAATGGTCATATACGCTGTTGTCCTAGGCACATCTTTTGCACACACATATCGCACATCTTTTTACCAAATGTATAAGCTACTTCAGCAAAAAAATGGCGTTAATATAAGTTACCATATTATGTTAAGGAATTCGAAGACATTGTTTCTTGTTTTAAAAGTGAATGGAAAAAATATATATTTTGATGAACAATACAAGAAAGAGGTGTTTTAATCTTCTTTTAATCGTTGAAAAAACGAAACCCTTAACATTATCCGGGTATGTTCTGGGTAGGCAAATAGTTTTAATTAAACTATGTGTACCGATTTCATCTGATGTCTTAAAAAAAAGTATAGTCTAGCTAGAACTATCGCATGGAGCTCCCGCCGACTGCGCACCACTGGTTAGCCGAATGCAACGCTGCGCTCACAGGGGGTAGCATGAACTAGAAAATCCCAAACGCCTGCAATTGTTTGTGAACACTTCGCATCGTTTGGTGGCGTCAATTTGCATTTTGTGGCTTTTGCCAGGGACTTTAGCGAGAAAACCAAGTGCAATCTTTACAGCAAGCTGACCGGATGCACGGCAAGATGGATCGCCGCAAGAAACGCACCTCCTCGGAGCAGTACCAGATGTACATAGACATGATGGAGAGCGACCCCATTTTCGCCACCGGACGGGTGCCGCGCGATTACGACCTGAACTATTTGACCAAAAAGTGGAAGGAGCTCTCCGACCGGCTGAACAAGTGCAGCTCCGGACCCACACTCACGCCGGAGGAGTGGCGCAAGGTGGGATATCGGATATGTACCCCCGCCAATCTCTGTAATCCCAAATCTCTTCTCCCGAAAACAGCGGCTAAACGACTGGAAGAACACCACGCGCTGCAAGTACAGACGTAGCCTGCTGTCCACGGAAAAGGACATCTCGATGACCTCCGTGGAGACGCGAGCTTTGGATCTCTTCGGCAAGGTGCCTACCACCACCGGCGAAACGCTGCTGAACCTAAAGGCAGAGAAGGACGAACCCGACGACGAATTGGAAGATCTGGGGCAGCGCACTTCGGCGGCGTTTCAAAAAGAGCTGCAGGCCGCCGTCGAGGAGGCCATTAACGACGAGGTGGACGAGGAGGAGATGGTGGAGGAGCATGTAGATCACGACGACATGCTGGAGGAGAATCTGGCAGAAACCGGCATCTCGGCGTCCACTACGGCAGTCAACACGGGCGGCGGCACCTATCGCACCATCGTCGTGGACAACACATCCTACGAGCACGTGGAGGAAGAACCTCAGACGGTGCAACCGCATACCGTGGAGTACGTCACAGCTCGCAGGCCTGCCGCCGCTGTCATCAATCCAGGAACGGCATCCTCTGGCAATAAGTTGATCAATGGCGAGCTTCCCGTCAAGCGAATGCGCACGCAGCCCCGGGAGCAAATCATCTACGAAGGTAACAGCTCCGTTCAAATTGTGCGGAAATCATTTGCAGAAAACCTTCTAAACTTTTATGTATCCCTTGGTTTTTGTGCCTGTACATTTTGCAATTCTAGCTTGTAATCAAATTCCACCCCTTCATATTCATAATGTTCGTAATAATGTGAAGTAACCTCGAATTGCACTTAAAGTTGTAAAGTAATTCAACTTAATAGTTTAAAATGGTATTTAAAATGCTAGCATTTTTATTTGCTTCCAAATCCGGTTAATTCTCAAGTATTTGTGTAAAACCAAGCGATGATATAGAACTAGCCAGTTATAGTTTCAACATGTTTTTTAAAACATTTGCTTAATCTTATGATTTTAAAATTTAAGTAGAAAGATAAGAAAAATCATATTCTTTTGATTAATATTAGCATAGCCACCTTATATAACTTTTGGCTAAAATGTAGTTTTTTCGTACCTTTTCAGTTAAAAATGCGCCGCGATGCATCTCAAATATGCAGGCGGTGCCGCCGCTGCACAGTACAAAGCCGGAGCGGGAACCCAGCTCGCTGACTAACGCGCTGAGCAGCGCTGATGCCCAGCAGATTGCCCACCAGCTGAAGCGATTGGCCGACATCAAGTACGAGACACTGCAGTTTGAGATTGCGCGCTTCAAGTTCAACAACCCCGGCTTCCAATACGATCCGCCGTCATTATAGTGCCCCAAGCGGCAGGACGAGATCAGCGGGTCTAAGCAATCAGCAAAAGCTCCAGCACCAGCAGCAGCAACGGCGACAGGATCAGCATTAGCAAAAGCAATAGACCGAGCAATGCCGGCTCGAATTGTATAGATCTTATAGATGCTCTTCGGCGTTCGATCGTTTTCTAGCTCTCCCAGTCCTGCGCTCTGCCGGAACACAAAATCGTAACTTATAGTAGCCAGATTAGTTTAAAATTGACATAGATTTCTACTGTGTAAACAAATATTTTCAATTTTTCACGCACCTAAACTATTATATCCATACGAATAAGCCTAACATTTTAATACCTAAAGTAAATAAAATTGGACAAGTAATTTTAACGAGTTGTATGTAAATGTAAAAATAAAGTTTACCAATGATAAATATGCGCGGCACAGACGTGCTCCACCTTTTGCCTGTTGTTGCATTTTAGGTTTATTTATGACGCTGGAGCCAGAATCGAAGCCAACACGAAAAGTCCATTAATCAAAGGTTGGGAGATGGCGTCGACAACGCATACAGTGTGCTTGGGGTTTGGCTGGGGTTCGGGCTTGGGTTTGGGTTTGGGTCATTTTAACCTGACCGCCGACTAGTGGGCGCACTTTGTAACTGTCAAGAGCGCCTGGAGGCTCCGATGCGAAAGAAATCACTTGTAGCTGTTATAGTGTTCTGATGCTGATGCAACAAGTGCCGATCCAAAGTCCTCTGCTGCTCCTCCTCCGCTCGGATAACTGCAATGGGCAATAGATCATTTGCAGGCCGTGCGCTGCGAATCATAAATTACCGACGACCAAGAAGCGGAGGATGGGGAACAGACCTCCATGGGACGACGCATGGCGTTCCGTTAGGAATCGTTGCCATCTCGATGATAACTGCACAACACGTCGTATGCTTAATCTGTTCTCTTTGCAAAAGTACACTCGTAAAATGATTAGTTAGGAAAGATTCTGTTTTCTGAGGTTAATCAAAAATGATTTCCAAATATTATATTTGATCTATAAAATATATTTGGTAAGAAAATCATTGCAAGCTGTATTTTCATGAGTAAGGATACCTTATAGAGCTGATATTAATCATTGGAAAGTTTATGATTTGCATTTATGTCTAAATTTATTTTCATTCTAAATTACTATTGTACATTTTATATAAATATACTTTTAGCGGTTGACGAAATCTGTACATATTTAGATTCTATATGTACCTTTTTGTAAACTTTAATATAAAAGGTACTCTCTAATTTCGGCGTGTTCCGTCTTTATTATAAGCTAAAAATAGGATTTAGTACACACACTTCGACATTTTCTTTATATATCTTTTAAAAAAGGAACCAAATCAAATATTTTTATAGATCATAGATTTTGTTGAGTGTTTCCCTTCCAAATTCGCTCCCGCCTGTGTGGGTGCCGCTCGGTCTTTGATGAAAAGCCCGCTGGCAAAGCTGATTAACTTAACCTGCGCACACACTTCGGCGGGAAATGAGTGTCTGGGACCCAGATGTCTTCTTCTCACATGTCCATGAAATGGAGGCTCCATCTGGGACTGGGACTGAACCAAGTTTGAGGAACTGATGGGTCGTCGCTCAGAGTGCATGCCCAGTCCATTAAACAGTTCGTGTTGCACTCGTTTCGCTTTGGCATGGATTTGGGACTGGGTATGGGTTCAGGGTCTAGGTTTGGGATCGGGTTTGTGTTTGGGCTAGGGCACACATGACAGCCAGCGTGCAGAATTGACCCCATGGGCGGATGCTATAAAAACGAAGCAAAAGGAACTGCTCAAAATAAAACCCAAAAAATCTGAAATGCTCAGTTTCGCATACAAAATACCCTTTAACACTTAATAAAGAACAGTGGGGATTTAAAAGGATTTATATTAAAGAGGTACAGCAACTTCAACTGCAAAATTCAACCATTGAAGTAAGCAAAAAAAGTTTAAAGACATAATAACATCACACGTACAATCCTAACAAATATATAGGTTTGTATGTTTATCAATGTAAGTTTTTTTTTAATAACATGTCACAAGATTGTCGAACATGTTTTCATTCCATAAACCATTTATCCATTTCTAGTACTCAATTTTACCCTGTAAAGAATATAAAAAGAGCAACTCGTGAGTTTTAAATTTTATCGCCATGTTGTTTCATGCATATTGATGAATGAATCCGTTCCGTCGTGTATTTGGAGTGACTAACTCGAAAATAACAAAACAAGTCTGAGTTCGCAATTTTTAGCCAAAATAACATCGGAAAATATAGTGACCAGAATGGTGCCCAGTTTTAAGCTGAAATAATACAATTCATGAAGGCGAAAAATTCTACTAGAGTGGATTATGGAAGCGTTTGCGCACACGAGCTCGGATTAAAGCATTGAGCATTCTATAAACTTTAAATCCTCTAATCCACGGGATCAACAGATAATATCTGCACTTTGCTATACAGATGAAAATGGTCTGATAATTAACTCCAGTGCTGAAGGTCAACAACACCAGAGAATCATACAAAATCTGGGACTGTAAATAAGAGTTATTGGTAACAACAAAATACACTGATCCATCATTACCATGATGTATATATCCCAAAAACGATTTGTGTACACTTTTTATCCACATTATTTTAATTTTTTTTTAAATATTTATAGTTTTTAAATTATTTTATAGAGGCAACATTTTTATAATACATTTTTTTATACAACTGTTAAGCAACTTTTTATGAGCAGACAAAGTCAGGCACGGTTTTGCAAGATACTTTATAAAATGTATGCATATAATACTCAAAAATTAACGATTCTTATTTGTAAATAAGTAAAACTCGATAAATAATTGTAAATAATTTATTCAACTTATATTTACTACACTCCTCGATAAATTTTCTTTATTGGCAACACCTTTTTTTTGTTACAACCATTGTATGGATAAGCCAAGGTATGGCATTAGTTGAAAACCAAGACCACGGTCAAGGCACATATGTATGTTGGGAACCTCCAACTGGAAACTGGCAACCTTTTATCCATTATTCTGGCGCAAAGTGCAAAGCGTTTTTATGCCGGCGATTATTACGCTTGATCCTCAAGCACCGAAGGGTCAATTGATGTTTGTGATGACGCTGAATTGTGTTGTTGTTGCTCGTTGTACCCACAGCAACAGCAACAGCAACTGGCGAGCATGCAACATGCAACAGCATTGTGGTCGCTTGCCCGCAATTCGCCTTGGAATTGTTAGCATAGGCGAGTATCCCCCATTTCTTTTATTTTATATATTTTCCCCCCGTAGTTGTTGTTGCTGCCGAAAATTGCAATTCTTGGCTGGCAGCGATAAAGCGTCAGCAGCAATATTCGTTTTGCGGCCAGGCCAGTTGATATATCACTAGGCACAGATAATGCCCCTTAGCTAAATCAGGCCATCATCAAAGCCGGCTTGCGATATAGAAATTATTTATAGGCCAGGGAGAAAAACTGAAGGCGGTGAGCAATCGTAAATCTAAAGATCCTTTTCTTAAAAGCTTAATTCCGAACAATTATTATGGACCAGCTGGTTCTCTTCCTCATATCAAATTTGATGGGTCCCGGATCCCGGGTCCCGGGTCCATGTTGCTGCTGTCCAGCGTGTAATTATATTAGCATGATCTATGCCATTACGCGCACACACATCGATGTGCGGCAATTAGTGCTGCGGACGAACAAGTACAACTATCGGCTAAACAATATGGCCAGCGGGCGTTTATGGCCAACGACAGGCCATTATTGACGCCACTCGATGGACTGGCCATCATCGATTGCTGCGGTCTCTGCATGTTGCTGCTGGGTCGCTCCTGCAACTCCTGCTGCTGCTGCTGCATGCAAATTGTCGGCGGCCTAAGCGTTTCGCAAAAGTCAAAGGAGGACCGTTTGGGGTGGGGGCTGTTGGCCAAACTAAGCTGGAAAAAACATCAAGCGCTGAAACGGCGCCCTCTCAGCCGAAAGTCATAAACACGCACTAATTGCAGCCGTGATTTGTTGCACACAGCATTAATGGCGCTCGCAGGAGCAACACAGACACAAACGCAAACACAGCGGCAGCAGCATCGACTCAAATCGAAGCCTAATTGCCCATAAATGGCAGTTTTCGTTGGCGACATCAAAACGTAAAGCTTTCAGCAGCACACACAAAAAGTTCCAAGTGCCCTCTCTGATTTATAAACAAAATTTAACAGCCGAACGGCGAGTTAGGGCATTAAAAATGATGTAGTTGCCGCTGTTGGCATGATGTTGCTACTGCAACGGCCCTGCAATTAGGCGCCACTCCTGGCGGGGTGGTCCGCCATGTCGCCAGTGTGGCGATCGAATCGATCGATCCCGTCGATATACAAATCGATTGCTTGATCTCTCACTTGCAGCAGCAACTGCAGCAGCAGCAATAGCAACCTGAAGCAGCAACATGAAATGTTGCTCGCGTGGTCAGCGCCAATTACTTAGAGCATATCAATTATATTACGGCAATGCATTGTAAAATAAATGCCCAGAATGATAGCCTGCTGCTGCTGCTGGTTGTAATTGAACTGCGCGTATTGCGAAATTATTATTTTGTGCATTTGCAATTGCAAGTGCCTACTGGCTGGCATTCTGCGGACTGCCCCGGCCTTCCATCCTGCGTGTCTGTTCATATGTTTTCATTACTTTTGCCCATTATGCGTGTACGTGACGCACAATTTCCAATTGCCAGGGGGAGGGAGGGGGCCCAAAGGCGGAGGGCTTATAAGCCGGATACCCAGCCAGCACTGACTTCCAGCTCCTCCTTTCTAGCCAGGTCCACCTCCAGCTCCAGCTCCATCTCCAGCTCCAGGTTCAATCCAGCGTGGAGCGTCGTCTGTTTGTGGCTTTTGTTTGCTGTTCAAGTTTACAATTTTAATGCACTGCCACTTGACTGTTGACAGTGGTGCGTTGCTGTTGCTGTTGCTAGTGTTGCTGTTGCTGCTTTTGCTGTTGCTGCTGCTGCTGCAAGTGTTGCTGCGGTGCTGAATGTGCCAGTGTGTTGGATTATTGATTTTATGCTGTGTACGTGAAGGCAACCTTGCCGGTAGTCTCTGCTGTTGCTGCTGTGCTTTTGGTGTTGCTGCCGTGCTGCCTCGGCTGCATTTAGCTCTCATTTCGCACATGCCCCAAAATGAAATGCATGTTTATGTTTCCGTTTCTGTTGAAGCCGTCATATGCTGATTCATGGTGTTGAGGGGAGAGCTTTATTATTCCTCTTCGGACCCAAGGTTAGCCAAATACGGGGAAGAGAGGGAGCTAGGCTGCTATAGACGGCGAAACCTGATGACACACGGTTTTTGAAAGCAGTTCAGGTTTCTGTGGAAGCAAAACATAAC